AGCTTGCCCGAGGGCGGGGCCAGCACAGTGTGTGGGGCCAGGGATCAAGCCCTGGTCCTTGTGCTTGCCTAAGCAGGTACTTAGTCTGCTGAGCTATCTTTCTGGCCCTGCAAAAGCTTATTCTTTGCATGGCATGGTGAAGTTTGCCTGTAGTCCCCATACTCTGTGAGGCTGAGGCCAGGAGACTTCAGGTTCAAACACAACCTGGACAACTAGGCTACTAAGTGAGACCATGTCTTAAACTAAACACAAATAAAGAAGGCTGAAGATGCTACTCAGTATGAAGGCTCTGGATTCTATCCCTAGTATCCGTTCATGCCCCCCAAAACTTATTTCCTTAAAACTATCTCCACCTAAAGGTACAATAGATATTGTGAAAGCGAAAGAAGCTGCTCAAAAGTGAAGAATAGCTGGGATGGGGGAAAGAGGAAGAGGAGGGAAATATCCATCCACTCAAAATACCTAAGATAATTGTGCTAATTTCTATTTGTTCATTGAAAGGAACAATAATTAATCCTTATGTTGTTTGATCTTTTTTTTTGGGGGGGCAGCTCAGCCCTCCCTGGCAACGGGGATCAAACTGCAGTCCCTGTGCTTGCCTAAGCAGGTGCTTTAGACTGCTGAGTTATCTCGCCAGCCCTGTTTGATCAATTTTGCATGCTTTTATCTTATCAACTAAGCAACTACTTTGAAGATAACAATATGCAATATAATAATCATTGTTAATTTTCTATCATCTTGTTTTTAAATCCTGTAATTTTATTCTCTTTTTCTTCTCTTTAAAATTAAAAACCTATCCCCACCTGCCATTTACTCAGATGTGAAGACGACACACAACATGACAGTAGGTGTGAGGCATGAGAAGTACAACGTATTTTCCTTTTGTGTGGTGCTGGGAACAAAACCCAGGGTTTTGCACACTCTAGGCAAGTGTCTACCACTAAGCTACATCCCAGCCTCATTATAGTTCATTTTAATAATTAAATTGTACATTTTGTAAGAGTACAAATTTTTTGTGTGTCTCTACCAGAGCTAGGTTCTAAAATGTGGCTCTGATTCAAAGTGAGTAGTGGGCTTAGACGTCCCTACAGGTCACTCAGAGGCCCAGTTAAATTTGGCAACCACTGACTGCCCTTAGCTTATATTTGAAAGAACAACACCTAGAGATGTAGCTCAGTGGCAGAGTGCTTACCTAGCATGCCTGAGGCCCTGGGTTTGATCCTCAGCATAGATAGATAGATAGATAGATAGATAGACAGACAGATAAAAGAACAGCTCCTCCACCTCCATCTCCAGCCTTTGTGTGGCAAGGGAGACAGTCCTATATTCTACCCCTGTTGTCAGTGTTGATTTCATTGCTGGGGACTGAATCCTAGGCTTCACACATGTTAGACAAATGCTCTACAGCACCACTGCTGAGCCACACTCTCAGCCCTCCATTTTATCTGAGAGATTCAGCTTAGATGGTCCCCATTCTGCCTCCTAAAATCAATAATTAATGATGAGTAGACCCCCTTACCTTCTAAAGACAAGCCACTTCTCTTGTAGCAATGACCATACATCATTGTTCTCACTTAGGAAAATATAAAATGTTCCAAGAGCCCACTGTTTGGGGACTACTCTGATGAATATGAAAGAAATACAGGCACCTACAATTTAGAAGAAAGATGAGTGTTTCACCTGCCTTTCCCCCTTTGTGGCCAGCTCACTGAGGCACTCTATTTACAAGGAGCCTCTCTCTTTTGGCTTGGCATTTGCAACATTAGAGAGTCAAAATGGCTGGGACAGGGAGAAGAAATACCAATGAAGTAACCCAGGTTGGCCAATTTATAGCACTTTCTATGAGCTAGTTTAGATAGGTAATGCTTTCCAAATAAATGGATTGCTCTTCCGGTTCTCCATCATGGCACAGGACCAAGGTGAGAAGGAGAACCCCATGCGGAAACTTCGAATTCTCAAACTCTGCCTTAACCTTTGCGTTGGGGAGAGTGGAGACAGACTGACGTGGGCAACCAAGGTACTGGAGCAGCTCATAGGCCAGACTCCTATGTTTTCTAAAGCTAGATACACTGTCAGGTCCTTTGGCATCAGGAGAAACAAGATCGCTGTCCACTGCACAGTCCGAGGGGCGAAGGTAGAAGAAATCCTGGAGAAAGGTCCTAAAGGTGGGAGAGTATGAGTTAAGGAAAAGTCACTTCTCTGATACTGGAAACTTTGATTTTGGAATCCAGGAACACATTCATCTGGGCTTCACATATGCCCCAAGCATTGATATCTACGGCCTGGACTTCTGTGTGGTGCTGGGTAGGCCAGGTTTCAGCATTGCAGACAAGAAGCGCAGGACAGGTTGCCCTGGGGCCAAACACAGAAGCAGCAAAGGGGAGGCCATGCACTGGAGCCAGGATGGGATGGGATCATCCTTCCTGGCAAATAAATTCCTGTTTCTGGTCAGAAGGCCAATAAAATGTTTTCAGTAAAAAAAAACAAAAACAAAAACAAAAAACAAATAAATGGATTGTAAGGTTTAAGGACAAAAGTAAAGCTGTAAGGTTACACTTGTCTATCCTGGCTTTGGACTCAAGTTAGCAGAAAGAAAAAAAAAAGCCAGCAGTTTTTATTTAACCTTTTGAAAACATTTACATAATGACTTCCCCTAAGCACAGAAGAAAAATACAATAATGAGACAAATTGCTCTTCAAATGTTCTATAAGCTATGGTAGCCACAACAGCAAAAAGTGAATAAAGCAAAGTTTAGGCAAGTTTAAAATATTGTTAGGTTTTTGAGCTAAAATTGTGTAGGCTAGCCTTAGAGAAGCTTCTAACTTCTTCCTTCCAAATATAGTTGAGTCACCGAGTAAGACCAAGGTCACCAAGGGAGTTTGATGCATACAATGACAGAGAAAAATAAGGCAGCACCAAACATTTGTCAACCAGAGGGCTGAAGTAATAGCCTGTTCTTTGAAGAGAAAAGAAAATGTTTCTGACAGCGGAGATCTTTCATCCTCATTTCTGGAAACCAAGCAAGTTTGACGCACCCTTGGAGAAGTGGGTACTATTCATGGCCTTCCCACAAGTCTCCTTAGCTGCCAACCACGGCCATGGCTCTCTGCCAACTAAAGCACTACGGCCTTTAACATCATCCAGGACCTCCCCACAAAACCTCACTCAACATCCATCACAGGAAGCCACAGAAATCTACTCGAATAAAATGCACCCAATGCCATGGAAGAACATTAGAAGCCCTTGAGTTCTAGAACAGCAGCAGTAACAAAAAGGGAGTGGAAACTATATGCACAACCATCCATAGGCTGAATCAGTTTAGGAAGCCTGTTGTTCTAAAGGACTAAGGTTCCTTCCGGAAGTCGCAGGTTCTTGTGAAAGAGAGGCACAGCCATGATAGGTGTAATGACACAGAATGTTTTAAAGTAAGGGACAAAATTAGAGGCAGCAGGTCACCCCTCCCCACTCTTAGGCAAAATGAGCAGTAACTAGGGGTTTTAGTGATGAGCTTTAGCTGTGATCCATAGCCAGTGTGGCAACGAGCCCCTGCCTGTTGCCCTTCAGTTAGATTTTCTAGCTAACTGAAGGCCAAGCTGCTGGGATGCCTGCTGAGAATGCTCCAGCTGGGCCAGCCAGGTTGAAGCAGAGCTGGGGCCTCCACTCCCAATGCTGGTCACTCACTGCTTGGGCAAAAACCCCAGCTTGGAAAGCCCGCTGTCCTCTGCTTCATCCTACTGGCCTGGGACAGGAGTGGCCTGCAGGGGGCATTTGCAAGGTTCTCTCCAGCCCTAAAGTTGTGTGGCAAAGAAGGGGAGAGGAGTGCAAAGAGGAGAGGTGTTTCTGACCTGGCTAGATGTGCTCTTGCCTCGGCCTTGCAACAGGAATGCCTGGCACAGATTTTCAGGTGGGCGTGCACAGAGTTCCCCCAAAGCACAATTTCACTCTAGTTAGCAAGGGATTGAGCTGTATCTCGCTCCCAAAACAAGTTCCGTTCCTGCCTGAGTTTTCTCTGTGACCTTGAGGAGAGGTAAAGACATCTATCTCATCAGGGAGCAGAAGAGGCAGTGCAGAGGACAAGCCTACAGCCGCGGCGACGTGCTTGTGAAAGCCCATGGGGAGCGTGGCTCATCCTCTGGCACAAGCCACATCAAACCCTCCTCGGGTCTGTGTGGGATGATTGTGCAAGCGCTGGTTACAACAACAAACCAGCATGACTCCGTACTTCTGCTTGTCTTCTGCTGTCAGCAGCAATCAGGTCCTGACAGGTCTGTGCCAAAGCCACCGCCCGGAACATACTGAAGCTTCATGCTAGACTTCTGTGGCTGTTGAGCTGGGGAGACGGGTGGGGAACTCATTTGCTAAATTTCTTTGCTCCAATTTGGAGACCACCCAGTACTGGCAGCAGAAAGCTCTGTTGCTCCACAGCTGCTGGCACAGTTTTGGGGCTCAAGTGAGGGCAAACAGGTGACATTGAAACTTGTCGCTGACTCGGTTTCCTGACTTTTAAAGTGTAGGGCAGGCTGGGATTTTAAGCTACAGTTGACTCGGATCTTTAATTGGCTAGGTAACTCCACTCCTTCTCTAAACCCTCACACTTCGGGGGTCACACTGAGAAGTGGTTCTTTGTTGTTCACTGGTGACAGTAGGCCCGGGGTTGACACCTTCCTTAGAGCCAGTGCTGGTTTGAAGGGGGGAGCTGCAGAGCCAGGTTGGTCCCCACAAGCCCGCCAGTGGCCGTGTCTCCTGGGCTCAGGACTCTGCTTTCGATCATTTATTTCTCTGTGGACCCAACTCCACTTCCGTCAAAGGGAAAGATGTTAAGCGGGCCACCTCCACCTCCCTTCTTGGAGGGGTCCCTGGGCACCCCCACCCCCCGCGTGCGCGCGCGCACGGCCCCCTCCCCGAGTGCTCACCCAATGCGGAGGCTCAGCGTTGGTCAGCAGGAGGCGTGGCCGCGGCCGCCCACCCTGCCTCTGCCTGGGTCCCCTCCCCGAGAAGCCGCCTCCTCCGCTTCTTCGCTCCGCGTCGCAGCCTTGGGCGCACAGGGCGCAAGTCACCTCTCTTGTGCGACAGCAGAGGGGGTTCTTGGGGGACCCGGGGACGCGAGCGGCCGTGGACAGCGCGCGGAGGGGACAGCCCGGCCCTCACCCTCACCCGCACCCTGCACCCGGCACTCCGCACCCCGCTCTCTGCAACCCGGATCTCGCCGCCGCTCACGCTGCCTCTCGCTCTCCCGCCCGCAGCTGCTCCTGACCATGTCCGCCGAGCCCACGAACGGCCCCACGGAGGACCAGGTGGAGATCCTGGAGTACAACTTCAACAAGGTCAACAAGCACCCGGACCCCACCACGCTATGCCTCATCGCAGCCGAGGCCGGCCTCACGGAGGAGGAGACGCAGGTGAGCGCCGCTCCGAGCCCGAGGTTCCCGGGCGCCTCCCCTTCGCGGCCGGGTCCTCGCCCCAGATCGCTTTCTCGCCTACGAGCCTGGGGCAGCCTCCCGCTTCTGGCTCCTTTCGCTTTCTCAGTCCTGTGCACGACCTCATCGGGAAAATCTGGTCTCCGCGGGGAGGGACCTTAGCTATACAATTAGTGCTCAGGTTCTGCAGATGGGGAAACTGAGTCCCGGAGGTAACGAGGAGTTGCTATTCGCACCTTGCCGCGCAGCCGCTGCACAAGTCAGACTGCGCGTAGCGCAGGAGATGTGGTTCCGATTTTTCAAAATTTCCTGGCTGTAAGGTTTAGAGTCTTCCAGGAAGATATACTCTGACCTTACAGCTGGCAGGAGTGGCCGCCTAGGTCTCCCTCAGTGCTTGATTTATTTATGTTTTCTAAACGCTGTTATATTGCCCTGCAAATCTCTCAGGGAAGAGAGCGCAGCACTCACTCTCCCATTCCGTTTTGGAGCCTTTAGCTGACTTTTCTTTTTTAAACCCCATCTAAACTCTGACTTCGACTTCTCCTCTGGTCATGGGAAGAGTATTTGTTGTGTGTGATGCGCTCCGGCGCTTTGCCCCTCTAACCTCAGCGCTAAAGCAGATACTCTTATTCTTCCCATTGCCCGGAGCACAGCATCCAGGACTTTGTTTCCTCCTGATGGTGCTCACTGGTTGCTCTTTGGAATCCAGGACTAAGGCCCTGGACCCTGGTCCCAAAATGAGTTTTCCTGAGCCGCAGGCAGTGTGGAGAACTCCCCAATAGATAATCCTCTCACTTGCAGATCAAATAAAAAGGCAAACATATCTGTTTCTAACAAGTAGAACAGCTGTCTGACTAACTAGGACCAGAACTAAATAGAAGGTGATTTACTGTAACCCAAGTCTAACAGCTCATATTTCTTGGAACTGCCAAAGAGCCAGGCTGCTGCAGTTTTATCATTTAAAATCCCATGCTATATTTAGAAAAGAGGAATGACTACAGAGACAACTCCTGTTTTAAAAGCAAGGCTGTAGGATATGGTGGGTGCTGAGTCTAACACTGATTCTTATGTGTCAAGTTAACATCAGTCGTGTGTGTGTGTGCACGTGTGTGTGCACATGTGGGCGTGCACATGCATTGAGGACCAAACCCAGGGCCTTGAGCATGCTTGGCACACACCCTACCACTGAGCTGCACGCCCAGCCCTGTGTTGACGTTTGGGGTGGCTGGTGTATGCCATATGCTGTTGCAGGCAGCCTCTAAGCATTGTCACTTTTTTGCCAAAACAGTACTGCAAAGGTGGCTGCTGTTAGCACAGTTGTGTAGACATAGGGGCCAAGGCACAGAGAGACTAAGTAACTAGACCACAGAGATGGGGATGGCCCTTGAACTCAGCCAGTCTGGTTCCACTTAGACTCCTGGCCACCATAAATACATGGTCTCCACAGAGGAGGTTAGGAAAGCAGCTGAAGGGGGTAGGAAGAAAAGACCAAAATGATAAATTTGTATTTATTGCTTTTTTAAAATGCATGTGTGAAGTGGCAGTCACTCCAGACTGCAGTCAGTCTTTCCTCAGGATCAGCTGCTGTTATTGAATTAAATCTGGGTAGGGTGAGAGAGAAACACCTGCCTCTCACCATGGCCGAAGCCAGCCAACACAGGCATCCGCACAGCAGGCTCCTCATCCCTCACAAGCAGCCCTTCCTCCATTTCCCCTCTTTTGTCACCCTCAAATAAACAGATGGTGAGCCCCGTTCAGCAAGAGTGGGTACAGGTTAGTCAGCCACATAGCAGGAGGAAGGGGGGCTGGCTTCCTCTTCCTGCCAAGGAGTCCACACTTTCTTCCTCCCTGTGGCTGCTAAGCATCTGGAACCCAGAGCTAAGCAAGGGTTGTGAAAGAGGCCTTCTGGGTACCTCAGGCCACCTGCCCTCTACCACTCCTTCCTGGGTTGGGTCTCCTCTTCCCACCCCTTCCAGCCCTGCCTTCATGTGCATGTGTGGGCAAGAAATGTTCTCCAGTCTTCTCAAAAAAATGTTTGCCTCTTTCAAAGTGCCTTTTTGAGACACAGTTTCACTATGCAGTTCAGGCTGGTCTTGAACTCACTTTGTAGCCCAGGCTCACCTTGAATTTAAAGGGATCCTCCTGCCTCAGCCTCCCAAGTGCTGGGATTACAGGTGTGCACCACCATAACTGGCCCAAAGTATATTCTACCAGAAAAAAAAAGTATATTTTGGAAATAGAATGCACAATGATGAACTTTCAAATTTTTTTTATTTCTTATGTATTTGGTTGTTACAGGATCTCACTATGCAGCTCTGACTCATGGTGATCCTCCTGCTTTAAGCCTCCCCAGCACTGAGATTACAGGCATGCGCCACTATGCTGGGCTGACAGCCTGCCCTGAGGGCCAGGCTGGCGCAGCATGCGGTGCCGGGGATTGAACTGTGATCCCTGTGCTTGCCTAAGCTTGCCTAAGCAGGCACATTAGTTTGCTGAGCTATCTCACTGACCCCTGAACTTTCTTTTTTTCTTTTTTCTTTTTTTTGGCAGAACAGGGGATAAAACTCAGGCCCTTGTGCTTGCCAGGCAAGTGCTTATTCTACTGAGCTATTTCCCTGGCCCTGAACTTTCAAGTATTAATAAAATTATTTTTACTTGTAGCAGATCTTTGAGGGATGCTTCAAATAGCTCCACAGAGGCCAGGGCCTGCCTTGCCTACATATAGTCATGTTGCTATGAGCACATCCTCTAGTTCTGTTCCTTAGCAGTGTGGCCCCTGTCCATGGCAAAAGTCACCAAAGGTAAAATAATATTCATCATATTTATGCCTGAAACCTCATCTCACCATGTAACCACAGCCACATCGGGAGATAGTCACTCTATTAATTTCCCTAGAATAAGTAATACTTTAGTGAAAGAAAACAAGCACAGATAATCTTTTTATTATTATTATTATTTTTTTTTTTTACAGATTTTTTTTTCCTTCAGATAGTCTTAGGGGTAGTTACTGCAACTGACTCACGTGGGCAGTAGCTGTCATACTCATACTTGGGCAGGGGCCTGAGAGGTACACACATTCTTTAATGAGGGAGCTTTTATGAACCCCTTTTTCTTTTCTCTCCTTACATCAGACACGCAGTACTGTATACCCGACGTCCTCACAGGGTGTGTGGGAGGCACATCTCACACAGCGGTGTGAAAACCCAGTTATCCTACTATGCGCCACCAAAAGATCCGCAGACCACCCTGTAACTGTCTCCCTATAGGACAGAGTTCTGTGCCTGGGAGGCGACCAGAAGAACTAAGCTGGGGTTTGGATGTACGCATTGAAATAACTTTTCAAGTTGCTTTTCCTGGGGTCCTAGAATAACACTACTCCCAATATCTCCTAACGCTGAAGTTATGTGAGCGCTCACAGAGTCCCCGCTCCATGTCATTAATTGTGTGGAAGTCAGTGTTAGAGGGACTCAGAGAGCTCTTTCGTCAGCCCCCAGGGGTGGGGATGAAGTGGCCTCTGTTATCACTCACACACACACACACACACACACACACACACACACACAATTCGAGCACACTGCAGTTGGCACTGGTTCTTGGAGACAGTTCCAGTACTTTTATCTCTTTTTGATGTTCTGGGCTTGTTCCCAGAACCCAGCAATTTTAATCACTGGATGTTTTATCAGTAGAATAAAGCTCTCTAAAGGTCTCCCCCTGAAAAGAATGAAATGTTAGTTGCTAGAGAAAAGGATCCAAACAATGTGATTTTGCCTCAAACCCTCTCTCTCCCAGAGTCTAATTATTATCTGTTCCCTGGGAATAAATAAATCTCCACCAGTGGGCAAGGGTAATGAGGGCATTCATTCATAAGAGAGCAAGGGATGAATGTTCCCAGGAGATGACAGAGCCCAGAAAAGGAGAATAAGGCCAGGTAGAAAATTAGTACTGATGTGAGAAGTTGTAAGATTCAACTCGGGACAGGAACCCAAAGGATTTCATGTGTTTTGCTACACAGCAAATGGTTTATTAAAATATTACTTATGCACTTGATTTAAAATATGTATCTTCAGAAAATATTCGAGCTTTTCCCTTCGCCCACCCCACAGTGCTAGGGCTCAGTGGTTTAGTGTTTGCATCTGAATTTGTAAATCCCCAAAAGTGATGAATACTGAAGCTATTTTGGGGAAGGGTTCATCAATATTCTGCTTCGCCACACAAAGTAAAGATGCGGGTGGCTCTTTTGAATGGGGCCAGCTCACCCATTTTGCCTAAATGAATCCTGATAGGAAGTAAGCCTTTCCTCCCTTCAGTTTTAATTAGTCTTTAAAATGCTGCAGGGCATTCAGTGCCAGTCATGGGGAGTCCTGTCTAATCAGCACTTTCAGCCTCGGAAACCCCACAGAGCGACCTCATTAATGAAGCTGGCGCCTTGCTGAGCTCATCCTGAGCCCAGAATTAAGGGAACCTGCACACAGATCATACAGGAAAATGCACCCACCTTTCCCAGCAGAACTGGAGACAAAGCCACCAAAAGGACACGAGCTCTCTCTTCTCCTTAAAGTTAGTGATTGCCCACATGCAAATATGGCATCCAGGTACAAACCCCAAAGAGAAAGAAGGCTTCCTTCCCACTGGTGCTGCCTGGCTTTTGATTACTTTGCTCTGCTGCTACCCCCTGCGTAAAGGTGGGGAGACAGCTGCTCAGAAGCCTGAGCTGCGGGTGCAGTGGGCTGAGCACCGCTGTGCAGCCCTGCATGCCTGCTGGGCGCCTCTTCTCAGCCTGCTTCACGCCCTGGCTCCTCAGGCACTTTGCCTTTCTTCTGATCTTCTTTTAAGCTCAAACATGCGCTCTTGCTCAGGGTAGCTCTAGCCACCCCCCACTCCCCAACACCCCCCCACCTCACCCCCCCGGATACAGCTCAGCAGCACAGCACCAGCCTGACAAGTGCAACGCCCTGAGTTGATTCCTGGCACCAAAAAAAGACCCCACACCTCCCCCCCCCCCCCCCCCCCGTTTGCTCGAGTTGGAACTGCACCTGGGGAGGCGCTGGCCCTTGTAAACTGGGAAGCCCTCCAAGTCTCCCACCGCGCCACCTCCATAAATGCATCCTAAGTCTGACACCTGGCAACTGCACTGCTTCTTTCCTTTCTGTCCCCTCACTTCCTTACTCCTAGAACAGCTCAGAGGGACAGGAGAGACCCCAGCCCTGGCCTCTCCATGTACAGATGAGTGGTTGGTGCCATGTGTCTGAGGCCTCCTGGGGGACCATGGCTAGAAGCATCCCAGCCAGGGCCTCTCTGGATGCATGGTTGCTTCAAAGACCTGCGCATATTTGAGTCATGGAGAGCTGGAAGAGTCTAATGAACTGGGAGGCCAAGCCCACCTTCTCTCATTGCTCAACAGCACTGGAGCAAGAGCAACTGGGTTGGCCACCACCATGTACTCCCAGGAAAGAATGCTCCACGGCTATCTGTTCTCTGTTACCACACATTTCATTCAGTGCATTCCTCTTCACTAGTGTGCTACTGATGAGCAAACCTGTGCTGAGATCGGCACACAAGTGATGTAGCAGCCAGAGAGGTTCATCTGGGGCACTGGGGAGCTCCTTCAGCTTCTTTTATTCATTCAACAAATACTGACATTTCTAATTCTTGAGCTTTTGTATTAGGGCCTAAGACCAAATGATGAGCAGATGCAAACAGCCTCTGCTTTCACAGATCTTCTTTTCTAGGACTGCAAAGGTTAACTATTTAGAGACTGAGTGCCCAAACTGCTTGTGACAGCATCGCCTGGTGGCACTGTTCCTCTCTGAGTATGCACACAGCACTTGCGGGCATCACTGTCGATGCTTGGCTGCTGGGGCAATGCTGGGGTGACTTGGCTCACATGCCAACAGAGCAGGCTCTGAGTGTGTGCTGCGGCACACGTGCCACAGGTTCACCATCACTGTTCTAGGAGGTTGATTGTTTTTCATATATGAAATATTTTATTGAATGTCTACTACGTAACAGGCATTGCACCATGTACTAGATTTTCTTCTTTATTTCTTTTTATCTTTGGTTGATTGATTTAAAACAAGCAAATACACAGTATGCAAAGTAATGATAGAAAGTGGCATGAGGTACCACAGCACTAAGAGTGGTCAGGGAACTCCTCAGTGGGAAGGTTCTATCTAAGCTGTACCTGAGAATGAGCGAGAGACCATCAGATAAAAAACTGAGGCCATTCTAAGCCTAGGAAATAGCAAAAACAGCTGGCATCTCTGTGAGAACCAGCCCCATGTCCCTCCTTTCCAGGGGACACAGAGACTTCTGTTTAGAAATGGAACAGGCATCCTGATTTTGCAGTATATGACAGCTAATTTTGCACATTTCTGTCTTCCAGAAATGGTTTAAGGAGCGCCTGGCCCAGTGGCGGCAGTCAGAGGGGCTGCCTTCGGAGTGCAGATCCGTCACAGACTGAGAGCAAGGATGTGGTGGGCGGCCAGGCAGGCCTGCTCCTGCTCCAGGAAGACCACCTGCTGCTCCTCTCATCTTTGCCAGGCTGTTTGATTTCTCCATGTAGTGTGTGTTCCGAGTTAGGTGTCCTGCTACTTAACAGGCTGTTGTATTTTTTTAATGTACATAACTAGAAACTAACAACAGGAGGCTGAGCACAGGCTCTGTGCGGAGCATTTGGATCACCATGACTGATGGTGCAAAACCCACCTTGATTTGCTCTCGGCTACCGCGTCCCAGGAGCAGTTCTCTTTCCTCCCATTTCAGAGAAAGCAGGGCCTCCACTGCAGAGATAAGGTGGGGGAAGGAGAGCACTTCCTGGTGACTGCTTCCCTAAGTCATTTTCCTACCCTGCCAGGTGAGAATACAGAGGGTACCTGAGTCACTCAAAGTGTACAAAGTGAGTCCTTGGCTTATGGCTGCATTAACTTGGAAAGACCCCAGTGAGGCTAGCAACAGGGGTGTCAGTCCACAGGAAAGCAAGTGACTAAGAAAAAAAAAAATCTGCAAAAGTCTTGAACTTACCTTATTTAAATGTACTTGTTAAATTTATTTTGCTAAATAAAATGAATTGCTTTTTGTCTCTAAAATGATGTTCTAAATAAAACCGCAGCTTTTTGTGAAAAATGCACTGATGCCTACAGGTTTTTAGCTGAAAAAGAAGCATATCAAAGAGAAAAGGAAGAGCTCCTCCTCCAAAGAGCTGCCCCAAAGAGATGGTCTTCCAGATCTTTGCTGTTCAAAGTGCAGCAATAGGAGGGAGCTGGTGAGATGTGAAGTCTCAGACCGCAGACCCACATCGACTGGGTCACCATCTGCACTTTTACCACGGTCCCCAAATGGTTTGTAGGCATAGAAATTTGAGCAGCACTGTTTCAAAGATTTCTGAAGTGAACTTATATCCATTTACTTACCAAAGCCCACTAAATATCTTAGTCTCTCAACTGAAATTGTGTCTGATTGCATGGAACAACCGATTAATCAGATACGCTTTTTGTTTAATTGTTTATATGACATCAAGATGGAAGTGATCCAAAGCTATCAGAGTAGCTCTTTCATTTTTGTTTGTTTGTGACAGGGTAAGTCTCACTATGTAGGTCAGGCTGGCCTCAAACTCATGGCAACCCTCCTGCCTCAGCCTCCTGAGTGCTAGGATTACAGATGTGCACCACCATGCCTGGTTTTAATGTTGTCAAGGATGTAGGGTCATTCTGTCATCCCACTTTTCTATCTTTAGCACACAACTCTTATGTTAATGGATAGAAGATGGATGCTGTGATACTGAGTGTGCATTTCAAGGAGAGAAAAGAGTGAGGAAAAGAAAGGGAGAGGAGGGAGGAGGGAGGGAGAGATAGAGAAAGCCAAGGGCAAATGCCAGCTATGACTCTCCCTTTAAAAAGGATTCCTGGGCCGAGGATGTAGCTTAGTGGCACAGTGCCTGCCTGGCAAACACAAGATTCTGAGTTCAATTCCCAGTACTAAAATAAAAACAAAAATAAAAGCAAGGAATCCCTGCCTCACGAAAAAAATTCCTGGAAGCTCCCACCTAGCAACTTCTGCCTACATCTGATGGATCAGAATGAGTCACATGATCACCCGAGTAAGGAAGTCTTAGAAGATGAGATTTTGGAAGTTGGCGTATTGCTACTTGAGCAAAATCAGGTTCTGTTGGTGAGAAAGAAGGAACAGGTAGACACTGAAAATGCCCATCTAAGGCCAGCAAGATAGCCCAGTGGACTAAGCGCCTATTTAGGCAAGTGCAGGGGCTAGGCTGGCCCAGCCCTGGGGTACGGAGCTGGTGACCGAGTCCAGGTGTGGTGGCATGGAACTGTAATCCCAGCGCTGGGAAGGCTGAGAACAGGAGAATCACTAGGAGTCTGAGCTGCACAGTGAGACCCTGCACAAAAAAAAAAAAAAAAAAAAAAAACCTAAAAAAATGGAAATGCCCATCCATAGGGAATGAGGCTGGCATGTGCCTCTAATCTCTTACCTATGATGCTAACTCAGTCCTCCCAGATGTTTCAAATAAAAAGTGCAAAAGTAGAAACACTGACTGTCTTCCAGAACACAAACACAAGAGCCTAGTCAACCTCCTCAGCCAGTTTCCTCTCCCTCTCCCTCATAACCTTTCTCCGGGAAGCAAGCGTGCAGCAAGCCCAGGTCTGAGCCTGGAGCCTGACCCTGGCACGATCCCTGGTGCCTAATTAGGGGCCCAGGGCAGATGCTGGCTTCTTTCTGGGAAAAAGAAGGGCAAGGTAAGGATGAGGCAGGCGTGTGGGTGCGTAATTAATCCCCACACAAAGAGGGCATGACTTGCTTTCTGAGGTATTCTAGACACAACAGGCAGATGGGTGACTGTGGGCAGATGGGCTCACACAGGTCTGTGGGGCAGCAATGAGGGACGCAAGCTGGGTCGAAGCCCCAGGGTGGGAGTGTGCTGGCACAGCAAGCCACAGCTGAAGAGCCATGCAGGACAGGCAGAGTTAACCATGGGCAGGAAGTGCGCCTAACAGGCAGAAGCGTAGCACCCTGCACCTAGAGTCCGGCTTTGGGTGGTCTGCACCAGGAGGAAATGAAGATTCGGTGTCCCTCTACATACAGATTTTACCAATATCTATCTCCTTGAATCTGCTTTTATGACCATAAAACAAGGATTGCCATATCCTACTAAGAAAGAAGCCCTTTGTGAATAAGCCATAATTACCATTGGCACAGTGTGCCAAGGGAGACACGTCAAGGCTTATTTTGACACATAGTCCAAATTAGTAGCCCTGGGCTCCAAGTGTTATCTGAAGTTGCCTATGTATCACAGCCCAAAGTGATAATACCCATCCTGGGCCAAGAAGGACTGCACCACCCTGTCCCTTCACGTTGTCCCAGCTCTGCTACCATAGACATTGTTGGTGTGGGAGAACCAACACTCATTCCCCCAACCCCTTCGCTGTTGCATCCCACCTCCATGGAGCCAGGTTGGACAAACCACACTACTCTGTTCCCAGCCTCCCTGGAAGCAGCAGTGGTCACGTGACACCACCTAGCCAATAAGGCTCAGGCTGAAGACTGAGGGGTGTAGCTGGATGGAACATTTTTGCTTTTTAACCCTGGTACTGGGGCTCAAACTCAGGGCAGTTGCTCCACCACTGAGCTACCTCACCAGCCCTTTCTTATTGTACTAAATTTTGCAGGTTGGGTGTGCACCACAATGACCACACCTGCTGCTCTTCTTTTTTTTTTTTCCAGTACCAGGGATCAAACTTGGGACCTTGTGCTTGCCAGGCAGGTGCTTATGCCACTGAGCTATAGCCCCAGTTCTGCTGCTCTTCTTCATAAACCGTAGGTATGCATTAGGTGCCATCCTTTCTTGTTTTCTTGCCTTCAGTTGGTTTCATTTGTTAACCTTCAAAATAGAAGTGAAAGAAAGAAAGAGACAGAAAGAAAAGTAACGGAGTGTGGTGTTACATGCCTGTGATCCCAACACTTGGGAGGCTGAGGCAGAAAGATCACCATGAGTTTGAGGCCAGCCTGGAGTAGATAGTGAGTTCAACACCAGCCTGAATTATAGAGCAAATTGTGTCTCAAAAATAAACAAAGGGAAAGTAAAGGAGACAAACAAGAAAATCAACAAAATCCATGAAAAGTACCCAGGATTCCCCACCACGCAGAGGTAATCACGCATTAATCTTAGGTTGGGCAGCATGCTCTGGGAGACTGAAGCAGGAGGACGGAATGTGTAAGGCCAGCCTGGGCGATTTAGCAACACCCCACCTCAAAATTTTAAAAAAGGGGCTAGGGCAAAGGTACTGGATTCAACCCCTAGGTTTTTTGTTTTGCTTTGTTTTAAAGATCCCATCCCTTCTTTCCCTCTCTCTGCCATTTCCCTCGCTCACACACAGCAGGGAACAGAAAATGAGTGCTTTAGAAGTGAGCTGCCCTTTGAGGCATTGCTCTGAGAACATGGAAGGATTCCCCCCTACAGGGGGGAAAAATGGCTATTTTATTTAGGAAAACATCTCAATGTATTTTCAGGACTATAAAATAGTGATCCAGCAGGAGAAGGTGACAGAAGAAAGAAAGCTGAGATCAGCACTTTATCCCAAGGAAGCTCAGGTAGGAGCATATTTGTGATGCTCCGGTACTTGAAAAAGGGAGGGCCAGGAATGATCTACCTGGCCAGCAGCATGTCAGCTCGGCTGACTCTGACAGGAGAACCAGTGGGAGGTGGTGGGCCAGGCTTAGGAACTAGGTGCTATCCCTCCCACTCCTCCACTCAGGGCACATTTTACCCTGTGGGCGTTCTGACTTTGTGTGGTCTTGGTAGGACAGTTAATCCAGGTGCCTCATCCTCTAGCCTAGGACAGTTAGACACATGACCAGGCTGGCCCATCACAATGCCAGGCCTGGACCAATGTACTGGCTCCTGACCTAAGCTGGGCCAATCAAAGGCCTTTGTCAGAATTTTCCCAAGAGCTCTGGATAGTTCTTTCTTAGCCTCTTGCCTGGACAGTGATGAGGATGGGGTTGTAACATGAGTTGGGGTTTCAGCAGCCATTTCCCAGCCACTTTGTAATGGGAACGAGTGGGGGCAGAGATAGGGGTGGAGAAAGAGAGAGAATGAGAGACAGACAGACAGACACAGAGAGACAGAGTCAGAAGGACAGAGACACAGACACTGACAGAGACAGCTAGAGAAAGCGAGAGAGAGAGAGAGAGAGAGAGAGAGAGAGAGAGAGAGAGAGAGAGAGAATCAGAGACACAGACTGGCTTTTCCCTTGGTCTCCTTCAGCCTTCTTGGCTTTGTGAATGGGTGAATTCTCTCCTTGAGCTGTCCCTGTCATGCACAACAGGAGTCCTGATTAATGGCAGGATGAAGAAAGAGAGGGCTCCAGAGAAGGAGGAGTACCAGCCTTGAGGACCGTTCAAAACCGAGGAAGAACAGCCAACAAACTTCAAAAATATTTGGGAAGAGACCAGGCTTTTCTTAGTCAGTGGGAATTTCAGAAAAAAAAAATTATTCTAGCACACTGGAGGAGAAGATGGTCACTGGCAAGCAGAGCGCTTGTAGGCATTAAGGTTGCAAACTTTTGTAAAGTGAATGCAAATGCATGGCACATTTTGTTCCTTCCCAAGGACATTCTGCTACTCTCGGCCCTGGCCTTCCCTGTGTATCAGT